TTTTATCACAATAATAGTATTTTTTGTTCATAATTATTTTAAAAATTATTTTTAACTTTTTAGTTTGATGTGCTTTAAAAGCGTGTTTTTTTAGTTTTTTTAAACTATATTTATTATATTTGATTTTTAGTCATTAAAATAAACTAGTATTAAATAAATATCAAAATAAAGAACAAAAACAATCTAATTATTAAAAAATGGAATTGGTATTAAATATTTGAAGACTTAGTCCCTTAAACTTCCCCTTTTTTTCAACTGATGTTATAATAAAAAGAGTTTTAATTATCATATAAATCCTTTAATGCCCTATAACAAGAAAGGGCAACAAGAAAAATGTTTGTAGTGTATAATATTTAAATTAATTCTATAAGAAATTTTGCTGCTGATTGCCGTTAATTTCTAAAATAATTACTAATTAGTAAGAAAGCGATTTAATGTGTAAAAAAAATTTTGTTTTGTTGAAACTACAAATTTATTTTAATCATGCTATAATGGGGAAAACATGCATAAATATCGACATTTCGTAAAAATTCTTGTCTTTTTGTCATAATTACTTTTCCATTATAGTAATAATTAAATTAAGTGATTCGCTATTTCACGAATTGACGTATTTTTACATTGAACACAGTAGTGTAATTAAATCTTATTTATCTTCATTTTAGCTTCGATGCGAAGCTGAGAAGGTATTGGTTTTACTATGATGTGTTTTTTTTTTTTTTTTTTGTGTCTGTTACCACTTTTTCTCAGCTCTCTCCGAACGGATTTCTTTCAACGATACGTCAAAAGATCACAAATTGTATCTAGTCGAAGACATTACCCTTAAAAATTGAAAAAATTTCCCTTGTTCCCCGTAAATGGGGGAAACCTCCAAAAAAATTACAAATTTAAAAATCGCTAATTTTCGACATTTTTTAAATTTTTTTTACTAAAAACTACCGTAACTTTTTCAAAAATGAACATATCAATATATATTTTTTTTTTTAGATGCTTGATGTCTTTACCTATCATTTGGTATATTTTTTTTTATAAATTAGACACTTAACCTGCCCACAGGGGGGATTTAAAATAACAACTTTTTCACAAAAAATTTACTTTTTCAACTTAACTTTTGAAAATGTTCCGGAAGGTCTGACACTTATATATATATATATATATATATTAAATTAAAGCTAATGTAATATACTTTATTGTGAAAAAAAAATTTGACCTCTGGACTTATCTTCGTGGTGAAAATGCCAAATGCTATTTTTGTGTGAAATTTCTCGATTCTATATTTCACATTTTTTACTTTAAAATGCTATAACTTTTTAAAAAATATTTTGATCAATACAATTTTTTTATGAGAAAGGATAATTTTAATAATACCTTTTTCATTCGACATACATAATCTTAATTAGGATATTAATTAAGAACTAGCAGATCATGTAGCTTTTGGAATAATCCACCAATTTTGTAAAATTAAACACTATTTAAAGATTTGCATCGAAGCGTTTTTTTTTTTATAGTGATTTTAATCACTATCAGATATCATTATTATTGATCTAACTATGCCACGTTACCACTGTGCCGCAAACCCCCTGTGATGGGTTATTTTTGTTCAATTACTTATCCTCCAATTACAAAATATAATTTTTTTAAATTTAATATGAATTTTTAAGTGAATTATTGCTAAATTACTAATTAGTAAATATTTCAGAAACTAAATATGATGGAATAAATTTGAAACCAATTTGGAATCGACAGCAAAATTCTTTATAGAATTCATCTAAATATTGTCAATCACAGACAAAGTATTTTGTAATTATCCTGTAAAATTAAGAAAATCAATTAAATTTTTTAATACATTATATGATAAGTTTAATTAATTTTGTTGATTATTGAATTACTTATATTTTAATAGGTAAAATAAAATAAATATTCATGTGTTTTCACCTTAATTTGGTTTTACAACTTCGGCTGCTATAGCCATTAATTACATTTTTAGTTAAGTACTAATATTTACAGAACTATTGTTTAAAATATACAACAACTTAAAGAGTTGTATGTTTTTTGTTAATTTTTTTAATCAAGTGCATCGAGTTAAGATTATATAACTCTTCTAATGAATAAAAATAACAAAAAAATATTTTTTCTCTTTGATGTTTAAAATATAAATCAAACAAATGTTCTGAAAAATGTTGAATAAATTCAAAATAATTAAAGTATTTACTCAATAATTTTGTTGACAAATCACCTGAACAAAGAACATATAATATATTTATACTGGTGTTTTAATACAAAATATAAATTTAAATAGTTATAATCATAGTAAAAAAATAATTAATTAAATTACTATACATGAACAAAACTTTTATTGTTTCAATGTGAAGTTATAAAAGTACTTCAAAAATTATTTGTTAAAATATTTTCCATTAACTTTAAAAAGTAGATTAAAAATTGTATTTATGTTTTATTATTTTATTTATGTTTAAAATTAAAATTATATTAAAAATATTAATTTAAAAATAAAAAATCTTTAACTCAAAAATTCACAATAATTATTAAAAAAAAAACGCTGATACGTATTTTAGGAAAAATTATCAACGAAAAAAAATCTCTTGTATAACCATAGTAACCTTATCACCTAGTGACGTATCACTAACAAGTAAGTGATGTTATCACATTTTTCCTAATTACAAAACAGAATTAAGACTCTGTGGCATGGAGGTCTTTATATAACGTTTAGATTCTTATTACCCATCAATTAAATTCTTTTACTAACAGGAAGTCAATTTCCTTTTTTGGATTTATTAGTTAAAATAATAAAGGGAGACTAAATTTTGACATTTATCGGGTATATACACACGTTCAAGTACATTCCAAACAATTTGATCTACAGTTTGCAACACAAAATGACAGTTTTTAATAGTATGGCTTACAGATTAGTTAATATTCCGATGAATAAAATAGATTTTGATAAAGATCTGATTCTAATAAGAGAAATATCTAGATTTAACGAATATAACGAAAAGGTAATTTTAAAATTAGTCCGAACACAAAAATGGAATAAAGAAAGGTGAGTAGCTCCTTTTATATTATCCGGACATTTTAAATGGAGTAGTTATAATTTTCAAGAATTTTGTTATTGCTTTAGTAACATCTAAGAGTAATAATTTCAGGGGTTTATTAGGTAACCTTAAAGATAAACTAGAAGAAGGCTATTTTTGTGGCTTTTTGAGTTAAAATTTTTTAATATTTTATAGTTTTAAATTAATATAATTTTTATTTTAAATAATATTAGCCACAAGTGATCAAATTTTATTATTTTATTTATGAGTTAGCAAAAAAATTAGTTTCACCCTGTAAAGTAATTATTGTACATTTTTAAGTTCTTTAGTTAAGTATTTACTTATTTCTTCAATAGACATATTGTTATCTAAACAAGTATATGAACATTGAATTAGCTATGTGTTCAAACATATATATATTTTAATATTATTTCTCCTTATTACTAGTAGTATATAAAGTCGTATTGTAATCTAAATAATTTAAACATACAGGGTCTAAGCGCAATAGAATGCCATAAAAAGTACAAGGGAAATATACATTTTTTTTAAATTTCTTCCAAGTTTCTATCAGAAAAAACAACATTTTAGTAAAGAATTAATTTTATTATTAGTTATTATTAAACATAAATGCATCAACCTGAATATGTTTTTAAATCATATAATGCTAAATTCTCCATATTTAACACATTTCTTTACATTTTTTTATAATATGATGCTTTGGCGGAATAAATTGTAAAAATTCAATTAGATAATTTTATTTTTCGTCCATTAGGATAAAGTTGATTCGATTATTTTTATTAGCAATTGTACATTTAAAAAATTTCACACAAAAAAATCATCTATTTCATTATTAAAATATTTTTAGCACATTTTGTAAGGGATAATCTTACAAAAATATCCACTGGAATTTCATTCATTCAACTTTTTCTGTATTATTGATATTTTACTATAAATACCCTTTTGATTAATAAAATTGCGTGTTTCATTGGTTTTACCATTAACAATTTTTTTTTGGAGCTCGTTGAATGACTTTTACCTAATCATTTGGTTCATATATTTAAATATAATACCTCTTTTCTTTTTCTATTACTCCGAAATCTTTATCATGTGCCAAATATGAGTTATCTGAAAGTAAAATTGTGTAATGTTTGTAGTTAATGAATAGTCATTTGAACTAACTATAAATTTTTAAATCAAAGAAATCTTTATGTTTTGATTTTTATTTCCGAATTTATCACTATACATAATATTTTTTCTCTGTGTAAATCTCTTGTACTTCTCACGAGGTCTTGAACTAATTGTAAAAATATATTGAAATGAAACTTTACAATTCCCAGAGTAAATTATTTCACTACTTTATACTTTTAACGTTAAGTTAATATCTTAATATAAATGACGGATCGGGGGTTTACTTACACAGTCGAATAATAGGCTAAAAACACAATCTACACATTTTTTTTACTAATGACACGATTCTTTTAATCATACACAAATTAAATAATTACATATAATATGAACATTAAGTAATAAGAAAAAGGAGTAACATCACCCAGCCACTTGACACATCTCCACAACAATACTTCTTGGCCGACGCCAATAATCCTGAATGCCACGATTAATTTTATATTGACAAGACGCACTAACTTGACAATACCACAGAAAAGGAAACACCACCAGTGTGTGGACGTTAAGGACACCAACTCCAAATATGGATTGAACCTTTAGTAACCGTATGTTGGGGCTTCGCCTATACAGGCTGACACAAACCCAACAAAAAAAAACTATACCAGCTCACTGGCCACGAGTCATCAGACCCAAACGGTTCAGTACGACTTCACTCGCGTACACCGACATAGTTAGTGACGGCAAACTGCCGGTAGTGCCGGACACGAGTGTCGTCATTACATGGAGAGGGGTAATGCGATTCGAGCTATGTGGGGAACTTGACCGGTACACACTTTAACTTTTGAACACTAATTCCAAATATACATAAAATCATAATTTTTGGTTAAATTATAAAGTCGAATGCAGTTAAGGTTACTTCATTAAAATCAGTTTTACATAATTCTATATCAATTTTCATTCCGTTTTTGTGCTGAATCAGCTTTTACTAGATGTAACTTTTGTTAAGTATATAATTCTATAGTTTTAATTTCATAAGCTACTTTACTTTTTGTTTCATATATGTAACACTTTTTGTAACTCTCTAACATAGGCATATGAAAAGATAAATTAAAATCATTGTTAAAAATATTTCTAAAAGTATACATACATTAATATTCATTTCTTCTTTGTAAAGGTTGTACATATTAGAAATTTTTAAAGTATGACTAAAATATTGCATATTTAAATTATCATTTCTTGAATAATAAGATGTTGTGATAAGGAAATTTCAATGAATTCTCTAATTTCAGAATTATTATTATCAAAAATTTTATTTCTATCCTTCGATTTTATATTATATCACTGTTATAATACGAACATCACTTATGTTAAATAATTTTTTGAACATTTCTTTCACACTTTTATTTTAAAATCCATTTCTTTTCATCATAATTATTTTCTTGATATAGATATTTACTATTAATATTTTATCATTATTATTTTTATATTTATAAACTTGTATAATTTCTTCTTCAGAATCTGTCAAATAACTATTCCAATCTGAAAAATTGTTTATTTTTTAAATAATTAAAATTTTTACAGGAAAAATAAATTAAATATTTTATTACCTTCACACTGCAAAACGTGTATGTTCTTGAAATGAATTTATTTAATAAAAACTAATGAATAACTCTAATAATACTCCGGTAGCAACTAATAATTTAACGAAATTTATACAATATAAAGATAACTGTGGCCCATCCCACATATTGTTAAATAGGTCATTGTCATAGAATATAAAATAAATCAAATGTAACAAAAAATGATGTGCTGTCATTTTGTTTAAAATATAAAAAAAAAGAGTTATATTGTAATATTTCTAATACCAAACAAGATTTTGGTATTATTTCAAATCACATGTTGATGGGTTATGGCACAATTGCGCTCAGCCCCCCCTCACAAGTTCAATATTTACTTGTATCTTGAGGAGTCGTATTGTAATATAAACAAATATATAAACATTAAATTAGCGATGTTCAAACCAATCATATCTATGTTAACCCCATTTCTTTTTCTTACTTGAGTAAGTATTATTTCTTACCTGTATTTGTAGTTGTATTGTAAACTAAATAACAAATAAATTAAAAAATAAAATACACTGTGATTTTTTTAACATTAGCCACTCAATTTCTCTTCAAATAATAATTATATTTCGAAAAAGAATGTTTGATATTTTTTAGTTTCATATATTTCCTGATTTATGAGCTATTAATAACTCATAAATAATAAAGTAATTAATAATGTAATTATTACTTTATTAATTCTTCCCTTATATCTTTAAAAGGTATCAACTTACATAAGTTAAATACATATTTAACTAACTTATAAAATAGAAAATGACTACCCATTAACAAATTTTAGACCAGTACTTTTAAAGTTATTTAAAGAAGGTTTTTTCCATAAGTTAGTGTCTATAAACAAATTATGATAGAATTATTGAGGAGCCGGATCCCTCTCATTTCCAACTTTGTTAAAATTTTTATCCAGTATAAACAGATATTAAATGTGTGTTATTTTACTTACTATTGTTAATATAATCCGGTAATCCATTTTCTTCACCTTCAGTATTAATTCCTGACATATAGGATAAAACTAAAAAAATCGATATTTTATTAATAACATAAACATTAATTACTAAAATTTAAATTGGTCATTTTCAAACGTTATATTTGAACATTTGATGTAAAAAGTACCTTATAGTGCTTTCTTAATTGTCTACGATAATGCTTAAAAATGACATTAAACATTTTAAACTCCTTTTTCACTTGCAGTATGATCTACTGAGTTAATCCCAATCATTTTTTGGATGATATGTTAATGATTACTTAGAGGTATATCTTAAGTTATTGCTTAGCTAATGAATAGGTAGATTGTCAGAAATGAAGTAAATAATTTTACTTTAGCGTTCCATTAATATTTTCTCAAAGAAAATAATTTTAAAGTATTAAACATATGATCACATGATTAAATTTAAAACGAGAACCAAATTAAATAAATGATTGAACGCGATATTCAAAGAAAGACTTGAAACATGTATCCGTAAAAATTGCCTTATGTCGGCTGTATTTTTTAATTAAAATTGGATAAAAGTTTTTTCATTTTGTTGGTGTATTTCTCAACCTTGTTAAAATTTTTATTCAATATAAACACGCCATAAATTATAAAAATGTCTTATTTTACTCACAATTGTTTATATAACCCATTATTCCTTCTCCTTCACTCGGAGTTTGATCTATTAAAATATTACAAAACAAATTAAATAAGTGAATATACGCAATTTTTAGTAACATTAATACTTGAATAAGCAAAATAAATTCCTCAAAATTATTATTATTTTAGTCAAATTAATCACTCTAAATATTTTGTGATATTAAATATTGTTAAAATTACATAAAGCAATAAAATTATATTATTATATAACCATACCACTAAGAAAAGTATCTGAGTTGTCCCTATTTAAGCGAACTCCACCACAAGTACTACAGACTGAAACAATGCATAAATTAAAAAATTATTAGTTCATCTATGAAAACCCTTCATTAAGATTTGGTCTCCATCAAAAAAATTAAGAAAAGACAAAAAAATGTGTTTATTTTCTATTCATATTCTCAGATAAATAATAATAATAATAAGAAAGGTTATAAAAACGTAATCCAGGCGTTGGTACTATGAGTCCAACAACTCTTTTTTAAAGGAGCCTTAATGTATCCAATATATAAATATTTAATGAAATTCAATTCAATACTTAATAAATAATACTTGATTTCCCAATAAAATATTGATATAATATTTTTTATATTTTTTCGGCTTCATATAAAAATCACGTGATTTAAAAAAAAAATCTATATTTAAATGTTTGACACATTATTTTAGTGTTTTTGAAATTAAAAACGTGTATTATTTTGTGGTGATAAAATATATCAAATACTTATTTATTTATTAAATAATTAAATTATAGAACGTTTACAGAGCCTTGAGAGGTTTCCCACTTCTCCTTTTCCACCTAATCACTATCACTTTATGATAGTCATTTAAATCATTTTCAGATATCATCTATACTTTACTTTATTATGCCATGTCCCCACTATATTGGGTCTTTTACAATTAATATAATTTGTAATACATTTTTTTAAATAAAAAAGGAGTAATGTTTTATTTTATAAAAACATATAATCAATATCAAAATAAATCAAAATATACACCTAATAAATATATTTTGAAGTAACCTATTACAATAGGCGTATCTTATAAAATTCAGACAAAATGATGCACTTACTCACCTAACCCTATGTATTTAAAGTGAAATTTTTGTACTGAAGCTTGGGGATACTAGAGTACCTCCGTAATTATGATACTAACTAAAACAATATTAATTTCTGCATTTAAAACTTAAGCAAACATTTTGTGATGTACAGTATATAGTATAAAAACGGCACTTACTTCTCTCAGGCTGGTTACAATTCAAAGAATATTGCTGAAGTGTTTCTGGATAATGTTCCTGCTGTGGTATTGGATATTGTTCCGACTCTGGTCCTAGATATTATAAACCTTTTAGATCTTTGAACAATTTATTTTTGCAATGAAAATTTTATAAAAGAGTTAACAAAATTGTGCAATAAGTTGCACGACTGTCATTTAAAGGACATTCAGTAAGTAAGGAATATATTTTTAATATTCCAACTATTTTTTAACAATTGACATGCTTCTTGACACAATCTGTTTAAGATGTATTTATTTTTTTCATTTTTCATTAATCTGTATGTTACTAGGTTTACTAGGAACAGGTCTAAAAGCTGCTACCCTGAAGCAGCTAATGGCAGTTTTAGGGCAGTCCACAATATGCCGGTCGTGAAAAAATAATAAAGTCTAATAGCCGACTGTAAGTTATTTGGATACTAAATTACTCGATAAGTTGTCGTGTTTAAATGAAAAATGTGTAGGTATTCAGAAAGTAAAGAAACGGATTTCTATAGTTTTCATTGTTTGTATCAACTGGCCTATTACTTTACTTACTGAACACTCCTTATAAGACTGTAATATAACATTACACAATTACTTCAAAACAAATCAATACTAGAAAAATATATAAAAAACAAGTATTTGTTGCATATTTTTGAGATTTTTCTATATTTTTCGTATGATTAGTAATTTTTTCACTATATATTCACTCAAAATGCACAAAATTAATATTTTTAAATCCTTATAAAATCATCTATTTTTAGGTTAAAGTTTCATAATAATAAGTTAAATAAGAAAAAGTCATAATCAAAAGTTTTACTTTTTTTTAAAAATGACACTCAAACTCAATTTTAAAATCCAGAACATCGGTTGAACTTGATAAAATCGTCAGCTTATAACGATTTTACTAGATAATTATCAATTAATTTTTAATTAGTAATAATATCAAAAACTAGATATGATAAAAAAAATTTGAAGTCACATTCGGAATTAGGGTCAAAATTGCACATAAAAAAATTGTAAACAAAAAAATAGCTTTTGTTCTGTATAATTTATTATACAGAATATTATAAAATATCACTAGAAATATATTTTTTATTTCATTTTGCAAAAAATATATAAAGATTGCTTTTTTTAGAGTAAATTTTAAGAATAAAATTGGTCAAAAAAGTTATTGTTAATATTTTATGTTATTTTACTTAATAATTAGGAATCTGTTAGTATTACCTGGATAATATGATGTTGAATATTCTGGGGTATATTCAGGAGAATATTGTGGGGTATATTCAGGAGAATATTCAGGGGTATATTCAGGAGCTATTTCATAGTTGTCATCAGCAGGTGAATTTGCGTCTAAAATTGTAAACAGTATTACTTTATTTTTCAATTAACATTTCCTTGAAAAAGAAAAGCAATTGAAAATATCAAACATATAAACACATGATTGAGTTTTAAACGAGAAACAAATTAAATAAATTATTAGAAACTATTTTCAAGGAGAGGCTTCAAAAACGTATCTTTGAACAATCTTAATATTTCAGTAATATTATTATTTATAAATAAATAAATCTTAAATGACATGTAATAATAAGTATTTTTGTAAAATATTGTACTTTTTTATCAAAAATTAACAGTGTAAACTAATTTAAAATTGTTTATTTTGCTCCCACCCTACATACCTATATCATAAAATATTTAACCAATTATTATTCAAGAGATAAATAATACTTGAATAACTCAAAAAAAATGTTTAAAACTATTATTGTTTAAGGTGAAATCTTGTGGCAAAAACATTTGTTTAATTTTTTTCTAAGAGAACATGGTGTATGGCGTGTGAGCCTATTTTATAAGCACTACTTCATGAAAAAATTACCCACAAAATATTTATGGTTTAAAACTGACAAATTTGACCAAACAAGTTATTTTTATTTTAGCAGCTGACTTTTTACACAGTTGTAGAAACGTATTAGATTCAATGCGAAGCTGAGAAAGTTTAATTTTACTATGATGTGCATTTATTTTATTCTTTTTTTGTAGCTATCATTTCTTTCACACGACTATATTGAACTGATTTTATGGAACTATGCATCAAAAACCCTGAATAATAAAAATGGTAATTGTCCATTTTTATTCGATTTTTATTTTACAGTTTGATTAAATAGCAGTAATATCAAGTAATGAAAACCATTCAAGTGTGTATTTTTTTTTGTCATTAAATAGATAAGAATTTAAAACTATTTTTGTTCTTCTGAAAAATGAACAGAAATGAACTGTCACCGTTAAACCCCACATTAATTTGCCGGTTTTATGGTAGATTTAATTTTTAAGATTGTCTTTTCAAAAATTTATAAATACCTTCTTCTACGGTAATATTAATATATTCATAATTGCATGAAGGACAACGATACATTATCTTATCACATTTCCAAACTTCTATACAAATACTGCAAAATGTATGTAAACATAATCCTATAGGTGTATCTGCTGGTCTTGTTGTACACATAATGCAATTTTCTGAAAAAAAAATTAATTAATTAATTTAATTAAAGTTATTATATTACGAAAATTTTCATTATAAATTGTGAAATTTTAAAAATCGTTTAGCATTAAATTGACTTAGCTATAAAATGGCCCATAACCAAAAAAAATTATTTTGATTGTTTATTTTTAACAATTTCTATATTGTAATAAAATGTTGATTTATTTATAACTTACTATCATTATTTTGTTCATTTTCTGAGTCACCTATGGTTGCAATACATGTAAATAAATATTTATGTAGTTGTACAAATATTACATTAATTAACAATTATGGTTGAATAGATTTGACTAAAAATCTTACAACTTTTGATATAATTACAATATACTTTCTTTTCCTATAAGTACTCTGTATCAAATTTGTATATTGAGCATTTGTACTACGTAGACACCAGTAAAAGACAATAAATTAAGAAAGAAGTAATTCCTGTGTCTTAAAAATTATAAATATGAAAATAAATTTAATTTTTAAATTTTTTGATTGAAAAGGAATATAATATAGGTAAAGCCTCTTCCCTGTTTAGCACTTTAAACACAACCTGTAAAAAAATCTTGACACAGGTTTATGATTTTAATTATAATACATACTAAAAGATATAAATAAAAAAAATGTAATGCTTAAATCAAAAATGTTTAAATAAGTTATGACCATTAACTATTGATTAAAAAATAAAAGTTAATTTTTTTTAAGAATTTACCTAAATTAAGAATAGTATGTATCAAAAAATATTAAGCACGAATGTTTGGGTTAATATTTCAATTGAATATTGGAAGACAAAAATTATACAAACGACCATTGCTTTTTATAAGTATAATTTAAAAAAATGATATAATGTGCAGTAACAAGACATTAAAATAAAAAATTGATCTATTTTTAACTTACTATCATTTTTTTTTACATGGTTACCTATAATTACAATACATGTAAATAAATATTTATTTAATTTGATATAATGAGCAGTAACGAGGCATATTTCTAATATATTGGTTGAAATTATAAGAATTTGATATTATACGCCAACTTTTGAGGATTAAAACATCATAGCCAGAAAAATTAAGTAGAATAAAGATGTGATGTAAAATTGTATGTATTCGAATTTTAACCCTCAAATGACTTAACTACATAATTTAAAATTAAAACTTTATTAAAAATATTAGTTTAAAACTATAAAATACTAAACTAAAAAAACACAAAAAATACTAAAAACATAGCGAATATATTTGGGAATAATGTTACTGTTATCAACGCTAAACACATACTGACACTCCGACCCGATTAGTATTTCCTAGTAAACCTCTGAAATTATTACTCTCAGATGTTACTAAAGTTATTCCCAAATTCTTAAAAACTATAGCTACTCCGTTTGAAATATCCGTATAATATAAAAAGAGCTGTTCTCTTTTCTTTATACCGCTGTTTTGTTCATACTAATTGTGAATTATGTTTTCGTAATACTCATTAAATCTAGTTATTTTTCTTACAACCCAAGTTTTTTTTCAAAATCTATTTTAATCATCGGAATATTAACTAATCTATAAACCATACTATTAAATGCTGTCATTTAGTGTTGCAAGCAGTAGTTCAAATTGTTTGGAATGTACTTGAACGTGTGTATATTCCCGATAAATTTCAAAATTTAGTTTCCCTTTATTATTTTAACTAATAAATTCAAAAAAGGAACTTTTCCATCTACTTCCCGTTCTTTTGTGAGTTTAATTGATGTGCTAAAAGAATTTGTTGTAAATGTTGTATAAAGACCTCCATATTAAAATCTTTGTTTATTACTACAAAAATATCATCTACATACCTATCCCAAATTTTTGGAAATTAATCTTAGGTGTATTTTAAATTTGTATCGAACCTACAAATAAAAAGTTCTGCTAAAAATGATGATAGCAAAAACATTTTGACTCGTACATAACTTTTTAAAATTAATAAGATCATTTATTTTATTCTGTTCTGAGTTTTGTTCCTTTAGCTAGTCTTTAAGAAAACCAATTTTTATATCTATTTGATTATTTAGAAATAAAGCTACTATGTCAAAAGAAATTAACTTATCATTATTTTTATAATATAACCACATAATTTTTGAACTAAGTCAATGTTATTTTTAACTGAAAAGCTATAGAATTTTTGAATAGATGAAATTACCTTCATGAAGTGTGTAGACCAATTGTAAGTTGGAGCATTAATATTTGACATAATAGGTCTCATATTATTTTCCAGCTTATGAATTTTTGGCAAAGCATATTGTTAGATACACATCAATATGCTATCATTATGCTATATCGAATTGTTGTCGGTTTTTTCTTTATGCCTGAATTATCGCCGCCATCTTAGGGCTTTTCAGCTTTAAGTTCTATGGCCCTTACGAAACAGTAGTTTTGTTGTAAAAGTAAAATATCACCTTTGCGATTGTCGCACCCTTGTGCGCTCAGTATATCGCCGTTAGGTCTACATATTTTCTGAGATACATCAAAATATCTTACACAGCATAGTGTACACGTTGTTCAACTACTTGCATTTGATTTCAATTGATCCTTTCAATATACAACATTATCATCCACTGTTTCAACTAGCCGATAAGTATAATGCTTGTTCATCTTATTTTTAAGACTTACTCACATTTATAATTTATTATTTGTTTATATCAACGCCATTGTAGCATTAGTATTAAATCCCCCCTATCCACAATGGTGTATATAAGATATTATGATTAATGTATAATACATTTATTATATATATATTGTAAATTCATTCAACATTTATTCATACAGTCCACTCACCTTATTCCTTATCCTCAACATAGCCAAATACTTAAGACAAAATAAAACCACGAATGCTAACGAACCCGCGTGAATGCCACCCGGCGCTGCGTTCATACACATATAGTTAAGGTATTTATAGTTTGAAATTAATAATTTTAATATAGTTTTAATTTTAAATAATATTAACCATAAGGGATCAATTTTTATTATATAACTACACAATACCACATTTAGTCAAAAATTTTAATTGGATTCTTTTTAATAAATTTTCATTAAATTCCAAATTATTTTAAAAATGTATAAATTGATATTAAAAGTAGATCTAATTTTAACTTACTGTCCTTAATATTTAAACTGTACGAGTTACCTATAATTGCAACGTAAATAAAAATTCATATAATTGTACAAATAATACACTAATATTAATACTAGTTAAACATCATTTTAGAGTATGGCAAAAGAGCAAAAGGAGAGAAGATTAGATGGAGTATAAACGCTTGTGAAAAGAAGCCAAGTTTGCAGTAATTAAGGCCAAGTTTAAAAGGTATGACGAGTTGTATGATTGGTTAAGAACAAAGGAAGGTGAAAATGAAGTCTATAGACTTGCAAGAGTAAGATAAAAACAGTTTAAAGATTATCTCAATGTAAAGTGTATAAAAAGTGTTGATAAGAAGATACTAACAAGTGATGATGAGGTGTAAAAAAGGTAGAAAGAGCATTTTGTAAAATGACTGAATGAGTAATATCCAACAAAGACATTAGAGAATATCTCATGGAACGAGGGACTTTTAGATTAAATTAGTATGAAATATTAATTATAATGTTAATAGGAGATAATAAAGAGGAAATTAATCAAAGGTTAGAAATGTGGAAATCGGCTCTTGAAGAAAATAGATTAAGAATAAGTAGGATTAACACAAAGTATATAGAATGTGAGTTTAATGAACGGGGACGCAATAAGAGAGGTGGATAGTTTTAAGTATTAAGGATTAGTTGTGCAAAAGAACGGTGGTATTAACGAGGATGTAAAATACCAGATTGAGTATGGGTGGTTGAAGTGGAGAGAAGGGTCGAGTGTGTTAGTCGATAAAATAATTTCAATGAATTTGAAAGGTAAATTCTATAAGATTGTAATGAGACCAGCTATGATGTATGGTTCAGAGTGTTGGGCAATTGACACGAAAGTAGAATAGAGAATGAGTGTAGCAAAGATAAGAATGCTTAGATGGACAAGTGAGTGACTAGAGAAGATAAGATAAAGAACGAACATATAAGAGAGAGTATAAGTGTAGTTTCCATAGTGGATAAGATGAGATAAAATAGACTTTGATGGTTTGGTCATGTTATGAGGAGAGAGGGATTATAAGCTAAAAGAACAATTATCGAAACGAATGTTAAAGGAAGAAGAAATAGAGGAAAACCAAAAAAGAGATGGAGGGATACTATTGAATGCGAATGAGGAAAGCTGATGTAAGTGTAGATGATGTGGGAGATCTTGTCAAGTGGAAGTTTAGGATAAGGGTGGCCGACCCCAAGTAGTTGGGATTAAGGCAAGGAAGAAGAAAAAGAAGAACTTTCAATACAATTTTTTAATGAAAAATATTTTTTATATACATCTTCATTCAACATATTTTTTTTTTAAATCAAATGCTGCCCGTGTTTTATAAAAAAAGAACAGAACACTAAATATGATATGAATATGGATTTCTCCATGAAAATTATTAATATTCCAATGACCGGCTTTAGTTCAAATAAAAACACGAACAATATCGTTATTTAATAAGTAGTTTTATCTCGAAGAGATGTCTATTCTGTGACCATTTATCTTTATTCCTAGCTGTGTCCTTTCTCTTGTAATATCAATGGCCTCTTAAATATACGCATAAAATATAAAAGGTGATAATGCACATCCCTATCTAACACCTTTCTTTATTTTGAACTTTTAAAATATCTCCCATTTTTATGATTGCTAATTTATTTTTATACAATTCATATAACAGTTTTCCTTCCGTGGTTGCAAAAAATGAAGAAATTACAAAGTAAAATTATTTACTTTTGTAGTTGAATACTTTTATCATATCAAATCTAATTCGACAATATATACTGTAAAAATATTTTAAATGAATGATTTAAATTTTTTGTATGCCTAAATCTAGTAAAGCTACATTTTATTTGATTAAGGGATTTTTTTTCAATTTTTGAGGGTAATATCTTCAACTAAATATAAATTGTAATCATTTGATGAATCGTTGAAAAAAGGAGGTCAAGTTAGGGTTGGTAGCCTTTTTCACCAAGAGAAAATCTATATTTCGAATTTTTTTTTTCATAGTAAAGCATATTACATTAGCTTTAATTTAAGATATATATAAAAGTGTCAGACTTTCTGGAACAAATTCAAAAGTTAAGTTGAAAAAGTAAATTTTTCGTGAAAAAGTTGTCATTTTGAATCCCTCCCTGTAAACAGGTAAAAAGTCAGATTTATAAAAAAATATACCAAATGATAGTTAAAGATATCTTGCATCCATAAAAAAAAGAATTATATAGATCTATACATCTTTCAAAAAGTTATAACATTATAAAATTAAAAATATAAAAAAGAATTTTTTTACAAAAATCGTATTTTTTTTATTAACTTTGATGTCTATTTTCACCATGAAGATAAAATAAAGTCCGAATTTTTTTTTTTCTATAATAAATGATATTACATTAGCTTTAGTTTAAGATATATATAAAAGTGTCAGATATTCCGGAACATTTTCAAAAGTTAAGTTGAATAAGTTCTATTTTCTATATGCATTTTTTAGATTTGAACTCTCCTCCTTATATAGGGAAATGGTCCGGATTTAAAAAAACAGTATGTCGGATGAAATATGTATATAAATACTACTACTTCTCATGAAAAAATTGTATTGATCCATACATTTTTCAAAAAGTTATAGCATAATAAAGTTAAAAATGTATAATACATAATCAAGAATTTCACACAAAAATAGCATTCGGTAGCCATTTTCACCATGAAGATATAATAAAGTCCGAAATTTTTTTTTCCATGATAAAGTTAATTTAAGCTTTTTAATTAGCTTTAATTTAAGATGTATATAAAAGTGTTAGTATTTCCGGAACATTTTCAAAAGTCAAGTTGAAGAAGTTGTCATTTTCAATCCCTCCTGTGGGCAGGTAAAGGGTCAAATTTATAAAAAAAAGATATACCAAATAAAAAGCAATGATATCATGCATCTATATAAAAAAAATTGTATTGATTTGGTAAGTTTTTAAATAATTTATGGCAATTTTAATTTAAAAAAATTTCGAAAATTAGCGATTTTTAAATTTGTAATTTTTTTGGAGGTTTCTCCCATTTACGGGGAACGAGGAAAATTTTTTCAATTTTTGAGGGTAATGTCTTCGACAAGATACGATTTGTTATCTTTTGACGTATCGTTGAGTGAAACGAAATCCGTTCAGTGAGAGCTGAGAAAAAATGGTAACAGACACAAAAAAAAACACATCATAGTAAAACCAATATCTTCTCAACTTCGCATCGAAGCTAAAATTAAATTGAAGATGCTTAACTTGAATGCAAAAATTGTTTTTTTGAATCCCCCCTGTGGACAGGTTTAGAGACACACTTTCAAAAACTTTATATCAAATGAAAGAAAAATATCTAACGTTTCAAAATAAAAAAAGGAAACTATTTTATTTTGTTCATTTTTCAAAATTTTTTGTGACAGTTTTAAATATTAAAATGTTTTATGTTAAACAGTTATTTTTACACAGAAATTACATTATTCGTTAAATTCGACGGTCATTTTCCCATAGAAAAGATATTGGGACAAATTTTTTTTTTTGAACTTATAGTATTTATTGTAAACTTTAATTTGACATATATTTAAAGCTTGGAGATTTTTGGAACATTTTTAAAAGTTCTAATTTTTACTCATATTTTAAAAAATCTAAATCCCCCTGTATAAAGGAAAATGGTCTAATTTAAAAAAAAAACATGTTAAATAAAAGAAGTAAACATAAAGTATTTATGAAAAAAATATTGTATTGATCTATGCATTTTTAGAAAAGTTATAGTCATTTAAAGGTGAAAATATAAAATCGAAAATTTCAACACAAAAATAACAGGTTTTTAACTACGACAGCTATTTGCACATAGAAGATAAGTCGTCGAGACAATTTTATTTTTTCATTTTATAGTACATGTTATAAGCTTTAATTTGATATATGTTTAGAATTCGGAGAATTTCAGGAATATTTTGAAAATTTAATTAGAAATAGCTAATATGTACATCGAAAATTTAAATTTATGAAATATATTGAATTGGATTTATAAATCTTAAATATTTAATAACGAAATACAACTTAGAGAGAAAAAGTCAAAATCTAAATTTTTTTCAATGCTGTATAGATAGCAGCCTCAGGTACAATCTTACTATCGTGCCCAGTCCATCTCTGATTCGATCATATTTTAAGTGGATAGACATTGTCTCTTATGACGCCTCGACACTATATTTTTGTATTATTAACTACATACCTTTGCCTAAAATCAGTGTGTACAATTTTTCATCGTAAATAAAAAATTCAACATTTCAATATTCATATATATAATTTTAATATTTTCTAGTATTCTCGTTTAAAAGACATGGTAACATTCTTCCAAAATTGTCACCTTACAATCAGTATTTTTTCCATTAAAAACACGTTATTTTTTATCTCCATAAAAAAAACTTAAAAAATCTTTTTTGCCCATAGTAAAAAAATTTTATTACCAAAAAAAATAAGCAAACACAAACTCAACACAACCGGATACTTCTGCAAAATATTTAAAATATTAATTTAGTTACAATGACTTATTATATAACATTATTATGTACAAACCATTTTTCTATTTTTTTCCTCTTTTCTTTTTTATGCTGTATTTCCACAATTATCTTCAAACAAATGTTGTACCAAAATAAAATTACTTTATAAAAGATTCTCACTGAATAAAATTCTAAGCAAACAAAGCAAAACGAATTATTTATACTCTACAATATAACAAATGTAAACTGTGATTGTTTAATTATGACTTCTAAAATATCTTAAAAAATATAAAATAATTTTTTTTTCTAGTTAATAATGCCTTATGCTTTACAAATTAAAAATAAAAATAATTTATTTTATCTCTCTCCTTAAAACATTAAATTTTTGAATAGATTCCAGATTCTAATTAAGTATAAAAAAATGACCAATCGTTAACAACTTTTAAACTAGTATTTTCATAATAAGCTCATCGTATCTTTTTTGTATGCTGGTTAAACTTATATGATTCTATAAAAAAGTTTCCACGATTTTAGGTGAAATAAGAAAAATTATTTTTTTGAAAGTCATAGACCTAAAATACTTATCTTCTGAAAAGAAAAAATAATTTTATGTTTACTTTTAAAGATTTTACATAGTAAAACAATAGTAAAATAATCATAGTAAAACAATCACTCTGTATATTACTAATGACTCGTTTAAATATAGAGTGTTTATACAGCGTGTTAAACATCTTTGTTGTAACAATATTTTTAATTCGATTTTCTAAAAGACAATAAATTTGAATCAAAACATATTCTATTATTTACCATATGATACGAATTAATTTATATGTTCATCGATAGATTTTGTATGTATTCAACAAGTTTTTGAATAATTAATTATTATAAAAAAAGATTATATTGTATTACACAATATTTTGGCAAGTCTAATAATTATTCGTCTACTAAAAATTTTGCTTTCCTTTTTTTTAATAATTAATGACTTCTTAGACTACGTTAAAATCGTGTTTTAGCTTCGATGCGAAACTCAGAAAGTATTGGTTTTACAATGATGCGTTTTTTTTTTTTGTGTCTGTTACCACTTTTTCTCAACTCTCACCGAACGGATTTCTTTCAACGATACATCAAAAGATCACAAATTGTATCTAGTCGAAGACATTACCCTCAAAAATTGAAAAAATTTCCCTCATTCCCCGTAAATGGGGGAAACCTCCAAAAAAATTACAAATTTAAAAATCGCTAATTTTCGAAATTTTATCAATTTTTTTTACTAAAAACTTTTAACATTTTTGAAACTTTTTCAAAAATGAACATATCAATATAATTTTTTTTTTTAGATGCTTGACGTCTTGACCTATCATTTGGTATATCTTTTTGTAAATTAGACACTTAACCTGCCCACAGGAAGGGATTTATAATGACAACATTTTCACAAAAAATTTACTTTTTCAACTTAACTTTTGAAAATGTTCCGGAAGGTCTGACACTTTTATATATATATTAAATTAAAGCTAATGTAATGTACTTTATAATGGAAAAAAAAATTTGTCCTCTGGACTTATCTTCGTGGTAAAAATGTCTACCGAATGCTNTTTATTTTATCTTCACGGTGAAAATCGCTACCAAATGCTATTTTTGTGTGAAAATTCTCGATTTTGTATTTTACATTTTTAACTTTATTATGCTATAACTTTTTGAAAAGTGTATGGATCAACACAATTTTTTTATGAGAAATAATATTTTTTAATAATCCCTTTTTCATTCGACATACTTTATCTTAATCAAGATATTAATGCTGAAATAGCAGATCATGTAGCTTTTGGAATAATTCACCATTTTTTTTAAATTAAACACTTTTTAAAGATTTGCATCGAAGCGTTTTTAGCTTCGATGCGAAGCTGAGAAGGTATTAATTTTACCATGATGTGTTTATTTTTTTTTTTGTGCCTGTCACTACTTTTTCTCAGCTCTCACTGGACCGATTTCTTTTAACAATACGTCAAAAGATCACAAATTGTATCTAGTTGAAGACATTACCCTTAAAAATTTAAAAATTTTCCCTCGTTCCCCGCAAATGGGGGAAATATCCAAAAAAATTACAAATTTAAAAATCGACAAATTTTGTCATTTTTTTCACTTTTTTTTCTTAAAACTTCCATAACTTTTTCAAAAATCAACAAATCAACATAATTTTTTTTTAAACTAAAACCTTAGATATTTTCCTTTCATTTGATATAATTTTTTTGAAAATTTAACACTTAACCTGCTCATGGGGGGGGATTTAAAATTGCAACTTTTTTACAAAAACTAACTTTTTCAACTTAATTTTTGAAAATGTTCCGGAAATACTGCGTCCTTTAAACATATATCAAATTAAAGCTTATTTTATGTACTATAAAATGAAAAAAAAAAATTTGTCCCGACACTTTATCTTCTGCATGTAAACGGTTGCCGTAGTTAAAAAAACACTATTTTTGTGTTAAAATTTTCGATTTTCAATTTTTAATTTTCAACTTAAAAATGCTATAACTTTTCGAAAAATGCATGTATCAGCACAATTTTTTTTTTTCTAAATACATTATAAGTACATCTTCCATTTGACATACTTTTTATTAAAATTAGACAATTTCCCCTTATATAGGGGGGGTTCAAACTTTGAAACATTGTATAAAAAATAGAACTTTTTCAACTGAACTTTTGAAAATGTTCCGGAAATACTGCGTCCTTTAAACATATATCAAATTAAAGCTTTTTTTATGTACTATAAAATGAAAAAAAAAAATTTGTCCCGACACCTTATCTTCTATGTGCAAATGGCTGTCGAAATTATAAAAAAAATGTAATATTTGCGATAAAAATCACCTTTTATAACGATGTTTTTTGTACTTAAAACTGCCATAACTTTTTCAAATATTAACTAATCAAAATAATATTTCTTTATATTGAAACCTTAGGTAATTTTCTTTCATTTGATATCATTTTTTTTTGAAAATCTAACACTTATTCTGCTCACAGGGGGGATTTAAAATAGCAACTTTTTTACAAAAACTAACTTTTTCAACTTAATTTTTGAAAATGTTCCGGAAATACTGCGTCCTTTAAACATATATCAAATTAAAGCTTATTTTATGTACTACTAAATGAAAAAAAAAAATTTGTCCCGACGACCTATCTTCTATGCGCAAAAGGCTACCGTATTTAAAAATATGCTATTTTTTATTAAAATTCTAGGTTTTGTATTTTATTTTATTTTAAAATATTTTATTAGGGGAATAAACTGACTTTCATGAATATTATATAATTTCATTGACATAGAATAAAGTTCATAAGACATATGATATTATACTTATTAACATTTTTTACTTTTTTAAAGTCGAAAAAGTAATTTTTAAATTTGAGTTAGCTTAAATAGCCAATTTTATCATGCAACAAAAATCAACGAATAGTTGCCGAATGGGTAACACCTTGATCTTTAACGCCTAGGGTACGAGGTTCAAATCCGTTTGTGGCTTCTAAAATTTTGCATTTTTTTTTTGAGTTAGAATAGAATTTTCAAATCATTTGATATTTATCTCATTTAGATTCAATAATTTCAATAAATATAAAGGATCTTATCACTATAGTCTCCCCTCGTGAGAAGAAATTGATATTCATGTTAATATTATTTTACTATGTGGTTCTTTTTCTGGCTACGATTTATTTTGCCAACCCTCACTAGACCTACTTTTTTCAACGATACGTCAAATGATTCATTTAAGTTTATGATATTTAAGTTAATGATTAGTTTAAGTTATTACTCTTAAAAATCAAAAAAATATTCCTTATTCAAATAAAAAGTAGCTTAACTAGATTTGTCCATACAAACAATTAAAATCATTAATTTTTAATATTCTTAAATTATTTATTGTCGAATTAAATTTGATATGATAAAAGTATTCAACTACAAAAGTAAATAATTTTACTTTATAATTTATTAATTTTTTAACTCTATTTCTGTGTGCTACTACCAGTCTATAATATGCCAAATTTTTTAGTAATATTTTGCTATATAAATCATAAATTTAAAAAAAAAATGATTTTTAGTTTCACCTGAAGTTAACGATGGAGTTTTACAATTATAATTATATTTTTGATAATATGCTCAATTGAGTAAATCTTTTTAACTACTTTGGTTTGATTGGTTCATTTAATTAAAGTAAATTATTAAAATTAATTAAGTTCTGAATATTTCAATTGCAGAATTTTTTTAAACACCAAAAGTTATTAGGATATGATTACTATTCTTTCTATTTCAGTTATCTATTACGATAAAAATGTAAAAAAATCGAATTTTTCTGACAAATGTACTGTAATTAGTAATTATAAAATTTCCAGATTGCATATTAATCTTAAAAATTTCATTTTTTTCAATTTAATAATGTCAATTTCAAACTTGCAAGTTGAACTATAAGTTATGGTAACAAATTCATTTTTTAGCTTCGATGCGAAGCTGAGAAGGTATTTTTCATTAAAACTTTCACTTTAAAAGACAATAAAAAATAGGTTCAAAATGATTACCTTTAACATATTAAAAATCAAAATCAGTATTAATTTAATACAATTTTTTTTGTTCTTAATTATTTTTTTTTATATGTAAATACTTATTTTTTAATAATAAGTAATAATATTAAAACTTAGAAGTAATAGAAAAAGTTTAATTGCACATTTGAAAACATCACGAAAAGTTTATTTAGAAAAGTATATTTTTTTTCTGATGAAAGTTCCTTTTGTTTAGTGTATTTATTCATAAGTAACAAAATTTTTTTATTAAAAAGTATTGCATAAATTCCTTTAAATTTGTATACGCATTAAAAGTATATGAATATACAACTCCTTTTTATTTTTATAATATCTCCGTAAAAATTACAATATTATATTATTGAATACCACTTTCATACTCAATTTAATTACTGTAATTATTATGTATTCATATATTATAGTTATAAATCGGGGTAAAATTAAGGGAATAAGTGTTATTGTTGTTTTTGAAATAATCTACCAATTTCATTTTTTTCTATTTAATAATATTTATTTCAAACTTGCAAGTTGAGTTAAAAGTTATGGTAATAAATTCATTTTTTTTTTATTAAAACTTTCACTTTAAAGAACAAAAAGAAGTAGGTTCAAAATGATTACTTTTAACATATTAAAAATCAATAATAATTTGA